AATAAGTATGACCACATATCTGATATGATATGTTGATTAATATTTCAAAAAAAATCTATCAAACTTAAAATTCTTCTTGAGGAATCTTTAAATTATCCCTTGAAGAATTGAAAGTTTAAGAATTCAAGTTTGAAATTTGAAAAAGGTTAAAGTAAAATTCAAATTTCGAAAAGGAAATTTCTATTTTGTTGAAAATTTTCAAAAGTTAAGTCAAATATCAATCACGCAATGTTACAAAATATTGTGAGAAAAAAAATTTAGAAGAAACCTTAATCATTGATACAGGTGGCATATTTCAGCCAGTTTACCTGCCAATTATTAATTGAAGATTTCATGGAACTTAAAAGTGAACAAATTAAACTTATCATTTCTTTTCTTAATTAGTTTGAATGAAATTTTAATTAATTGAAATTTTGAATGATAACAGGGTAATCGCTTGTTTTTGAAATTACTGTAATTATCATTAGCATTTCCTCACACAACATTATAGTTTATTATTTTTATCAATCCCTTCCCTCTCTCCCAGTCCAGTACTATCACTCGAAACCCCTCCCACTTTATTCTCGGCTAAAATTTTGTAATGTTTGACTAATGCTATCTGAGAAATCTTTAACGATATGTTGTCTCTCAAATTCTTCCAATATAGATTTGTAATATCCTCTAAATCATAGCTATTTCATTTACTCTCAATCTCTTTATGTATAATCACTCTCAGATCTTAGCAATCTTTTTATCCTCCTCTAGAAACATTTTATTTTCCCCATGTAAGTTGTATGAGGAAACATATAAAACGGTGTATTTCATTTATTACTAATTAACTTGTTAGCATTTGTTAGTAATTAGTGATGGTCAGTTTTTTATCTCTTTAATTAGCTTTTCATGTCGGTTACGATTAACACAGGTGTTCCATGCTGTTTTCAATTTTAATTAATCCTTATCGATTTGCTTGCTTGCTGATTGAATTTGACGTACAACGTTGGAACATACGTCAGGTGAATGACTTTAATATATCCGTAATAAGTAAGTTGGAATTGGAAGAAATTGAATTTATTTCAGTTATCGCAAGAATTTGTGTATAAAAATATGTACCAAGGATTTGATTGGTTTTACTGAGGATGGCTCAAGTTATGGATCATGCGAATCAGGAAATATCCGGGTAAGGCATCAGTCGATAATTTTGAATTCTTTATATCCAGAAATCATGTCTTAAGATTTTAATCGCTTCCTAAATAATCTACGATTTCTTTGTTTGCCAAATCTTATAGTTTTATATGGTCACTGGGAATTAAAATTAATATCACGACACAATGTACTTGTTAAGATTAACTCTACACAGGTACTCTGCAAGAAGAGCTGCATACATATGTCCATGTCAATATATTTATAAATATTTCATAGGTGTTGATTGCAGTTTATGTACCATTCTTGGTTGTAGAAATTATAAATGAACACGAACCGTATATATGAAGGTGATATGATGACCTGTACCGGTGAATGCTATTCTTATAATGAAAAATGCGCATGCATAAAACATATTAGCAAAGTGAACGCTAAACATCAAAATGTTTTTTATTGCATGAATTATTCTTATATTTATTTGCATTTCAGAACATCTACATTAGATAGTTGGAACATACAGACCACAAACGACATGCTTCTGATGCAAATTTTTTGCCGCAAAATGCCCAAATGTGTTAGTTAACTATCGACATCTATTTTGTTAAAACTCCTATTGTTTTTTATTTGCTCATACTAGAATAAATTAATCATCTGATTCTTTATGAGACAATATTTCCAGGAATTTCATGCGCATTTGAGTGGTTGTATTAGCCTTAAAATGCTACATATGCTGGATTTAAGACGTCGAAATGAATATGGGACCGATATAGCTTCCGATGGTCTAAATAAACTCAGTGAATACAATCGAAAGCCAAGGAATTTGGAGGAGTAAGCAGATCTTTGTTTTTTAATAATCAGTGCTTTAGTTCATTTTGCATTTCCATGATCCGTTGACATACAGATTATCTGCTATCGAATTACTATTTTAGAAATGATACTCAACACCACAAGCTTATTCACTTAAAATAATAGGAACAATAAGCTTATTCGCTTATTATTTGATTGCTGCTGATAAGGAACTTACTATATGTAGACTTCCTAAAAAAAGAAAAAAAAACATGATAATATTTCTCAAACAGATCCCGTAATTCCTTTTTTAAGGAATCAAAACATTTTGATAAATTATTTTATATTATAATATCTTGCAGAGCATTCAAACTATTTCCACTCATACAGCAACTAGTTGTCCGACCTGAAGATGTTACAGAGGTATTCTTGCTTCCATTACTTGCCTTCCATTCTTTTGTTTTTAGGATTCAGGCAGTGTTTAACATTGCTTAAAAATAAAGTAACTCATGAATGTTATTATTTTAAGAAATGGTAAAACTCAGAGCTTCTGTGCTCATGCTCAAAACCAAAGCTAATATGCACTTCTTTTCTCGCTTAATAAGTTTAACTGTAACGTTTGCAGCTGATCTTGAGTTTTTTTTCGTAGTCGTTATTACTTCGACTGCCGAATATTATGTAGTTAAACACTTTGTAATGTTTTAATATATATCACTGCATAACAAATTGTAATGTATGAAGCTTAGCTTGGTATTTCCGAAATTTAAATATTTTTCCATTGGAGGTCAACTTTAAGGTGACTAGCGAGGTAATTGGAGAATTCAGTGAAGATAATGTAGTGTATTTGGAGTTGAGATCTACACCCCGACAAACGACATACATGTCGAAGGAAGAATATGTAAAAGCGTCATAACAGGTGTAGTCAAGTCCAGACAGCTTTTCCCGAACATTTGCGTCCGTTTATTGCTTAGCATTGATCGACGACAAACGGTTGAAGAAGCCGAAGAAACGCTAAATCTGGCTTTGCGTTATGGTATGTGATTCTCTGAAATCGATAGTAATGTTAAGTTATTAGTTATTGCACCCTCAAATAAATGACCTGATCCTGTGAAGGTATAAGTATCTGTGTCATATGTTAAATGTACGAATAAAATGCAGGCATCACTCGAATTGTACAACGCAAATTAAAACTGATGTGTGATTAACTTTTTTTAGGATTATCCTGAGCCGAAATTTTCATTATTTCATCGCAAAAGAGAATTCTTGTCAAATTTTGGGCGATTCATTGTGTTCAAAGTTCATCAGCGTTTTGCACTTTCCAGAAAATGTATTCCTCTCATTCATAGCAAGAGTGGTTTATTTTTTCAGGAAAATATAATGATGATAAGGCAACAAGTGGAGTCATTATTGGTATTGATATAAGTGGAGATCCAAAATATGACGCACGGAAGTTTTTGCCGCTTCTGCGGAAAGTTAAGAATGATTTCCCCGTCATTGCATTTCATCTAGCTGAGGTAATTTGTGCATAGTAAAACTGCCTTTAAATTGGCTGTCATAAGAATTGTCTGAATGTTTTTGAATAATGAGGTTTGTGCCCGTCATGATTAAGATAATTTGAAGTTTTCAAAGTTTCCCTGTTGAACTGTTGAACTTGTCAGCATAAATGAGAATGCATTCCAAAGATTGTCTTTAATTTCGCAGTTTCTTGGCCATTTTTTTTTGTCGATATTTGCTACTTTTTTGAAAGATTTATTCTTTCCATAAATTGTTAAATTATCCTATTTTAAAGCATTTCCAATAATTCCTATTGAATTTGTCAGTAACTGAGATCAGGTTTATTCTTTTTCTGCATTGGCATT